CTCTTTTAAATTCTTCATATTGATGGTGATTGGCGCTTGATGTTATTGGACAACATGATCATCGTTAGGTTTAATATGAAATGAGATTTTAGAATCCTCAGCAAATGAAATATTTGTTCCCCTCAGTAACTCAGACAGTGATCAGTTGTTCCTGTGTATTTCCTCATGAGTTTCTTCAATTTTCTTGGTATTTAATTATCTTGTGAAGTTTTATATTTGGTCCACATCCACACGTTTATGAATTGCAAAGTGACTTCATCGAAGCGGCGGGGGTGGGGGAGTTCGCAAAGGTCACTCCTCACATTGAAGTTATCCTTGAAGATATTGCCCAGAAGGATACTCAGAACTTCAAAATTTTTGACACGACTGACTGAAAAGTCTAACTGCTATTCATCTACAAGAATTACAGTTAGACTTCGAAATTGATATCAAATAACTGAAGGCAAGTAAAAGGATGCCCTGAATCTGGTTTTCGGGCATTCTCATCATCAGAAAGGTTTATGTACAAACTCAAACGATTCGATGTTCCGCGAGAAGATTCGATCATGTATCATCCGGTGCTGTGGTTAGATTAAATATTAAGACAGGGATATATTAGTTATTCTCTAGTATCGTTGTATTTATCATAGTTTCACAGAGGTGCATCATAACGCAGGAATATAAGTACCTTAGAGGTCATGATACGCTATTCTAGCAAGTGTCAAAAAGCACGAATTCCTGTTGCAGAGTATCCTGCCAACTTCCTCCAACAATTCCTGAGACTACGTCAACGTGAATGTCATCGGCAAGTCACCTAGCGTAGTGACCACCTTGAAAACTTGACTGGTAGAATTCAGTCGCCACCAAAATTAAGGACTAGATTCCCTTATGAATAATTTATACAGAATTTGAAATTTTACCATGGTCCGTGAATTTTTTCTCATTTCCAGCGGTTATTTTTGTACATTAAGTTAAATACGCTTAATATATAACCCTGTTATGGACTATCCTTTAAAATTCATTAGGAAGATCATTAAAGGCTAAAAACAAAATAAAAATAATTGTGAAACTATTAATAATAACATAAATAGAAGAGAATATGAGTCATCTATAGTTATACCATATAAAGAGGGGACATCTGAGACCCTAAGTAGGATTCTAAATAAAGCAGGATTTAAGGTGACATTTAAACCTACAAACTCACTCAGGGACAAGCTCTGCAGGTTAAAGGACCCAACTGACCCAATTAGACAAAACCATATAATTTACAAAATACCCTGCAATGACTGTGAGGTCAACTATATAGGTCAAACTAGTAGATCGAGAGTAACCAGATTGTCAGAAAATAATAGTTTAGCTAAGGTAAGAATGGGTGACCCCGAGAAGATAAGTAACTTTGAAAAAAGCTCAGTAATTGCACTACATGCATTAACACACAACCACACAATAGGGTGGGAGAGGGTTAAGATTCTAAGAAGTAATCTATGTAGAGGGAGAGAGATGTTGATTACTGAATCCTTGTTCATCGAATTTACACCCAATACATGTGTCAGCCAACTCTCATAAACTGTCAATGTCCAGCTCTTACTACGCTGGACCTCACGCTGTCCCTGGAAGACTTTCAGAAACACTTTCTATTAACCAACGCGAAAAACCAGAACACTGATTGGCGACTCGAGAATCCTTTATTCTTACGCCAACATGTAACCAACAATAAGGTTATTACACAAGGTCTAAGAATAAATGTTATAACAATAAATCACGATAATACTTCTGATAGTTTTCGATCTTCCACTGAACAGCGAACGCTGAGACGATGACTGCTGGATTGATGACTCCCGCGAAAAATATGGAGGAGTTGGGTTTGAGCAAACAACCGTGAATTGATCGTTCAGTCTTCAACTACACTGACAACATGCAATAGAAATGATTCATCACTCATACCCGAAATATGAAAATACTACTACCAATCAAATCAAGTGAAAAACAATGGAACTATATAAAGGAAGTTAGGAAGTCGTGCGAGTACCTTGATATGATTATGAGCCATAAATTACGCTGGAAACTAAAAGACAGATTCAGCGAAGGAAATTTTCCTTATCAACGAAATCATCTTCAGAGGCTGTACAGTCGTATTTTTACTCACAAAAATATATGGTGGTCTATTATTGAGTAATAGGGGGTGACATAATTGATATAATTACTCAGAAGTGGGTTTAGAAGTGAAAATTAAAAGTTGTAAATTACGTGGTACTCAGCGGCACAAAGATAGAAATTTGATGAGGTTAAAATTGCTTTTGAGTGAGAATAAAGGTGGTAGTTGGGTGTCAATTTAGCAACTGTGAATAGGGTGTTTCATATGCTCCTTTTGTATATTTTCACACCCTCTTCACACTTGTTAAATTGACACTCAACTACCACCTTTATTCTCACTCAAGAGCAATTTTAAACTTATGAGACTTTATCAAAACAAAATTTACCCATAATGGAATTACAGTCTACCACAGTGGACAAATTTTATTCTTGTACAGCTGTTCTAGACAGTCTGGTCAATAACGCCTTACATGAATCAATCGGTTACCACATTTTCCATCCAGTATAAGGCGTCAAATATTTTTTTTGTCATTTCATATTCTTTTAACTATTGAATTACCGCCTTATATCTCAGTCTGGGCCTACATATATATTTTCTAAATAGCCCTCAACCTACTTCGCCTATGCACTCTGCGAAGGTAAGGAAAGAAGGAAGGATATTGTGAGGATTTGTTTCGTATTTACTAAGTGAACAATATTATCTCATGGCCAGTAGGGTCCTTCACGTAAGGTGTGTATCTGATACGCACTTATGTCACTGATTAACAGTAGCACTATGTTAAAACGTGGTCAGAGGTTAGAAAACGTGAGTCACAGAATTCTAAATTAGTGGCTGGGTGGACAATAGGCTCAACAAGTAACATGAATGCCTTGGGTTAAACGCCTCGTTGGGGTCATGAGTTGACACACTGCCGAAGAATCCAATAGCTGGGGTGAAATTGCTGTTTGATGCTCTTTGCTCTCCAGAAATTCTCCAAATTATACCCGTTTATGGTTAAGTCTACATTGAAATATTCACTTTAAGTAGTTATTCAACTGTGCTGTTTCACCATATTATTATTTTTCCCTTGCGTTCCCAGTGGAATATAGGGCTGGCTTCAACAACACAACTCCACTTTCTTCTATTTTCTGCTGTCTTCTTCGTCTGGCTGACCTCACGATTGCCCATAATCTCTCATCCCCTCCCCCTCCCCAACTCACATGATCTCCTCCATATCACCCTCACACCAACAACCCACTCGTCAACTTCCAAATGGGATTCCACTTGAGCGATGGCCTGCATTACGCGAGATGTTATTCAATGGCCTCCTCAGTGTGTGCCTCATCAATCTCCATTTTTTTTCTACATCTTTGTTGGTTTTTTTGTCCAGAGTTTCTTGTTACTAACTCCTTTTTGGTCGGCTGGCCATTTGATCTTCAGTATAGAGTCAGAGAAGTGGGCAAGCAGCTGTTAATGAGTCTTTCAACCTGATGGAAATCCTTTTCTTGACACGCCAAGTTTCACCATAGTATTAGTGTTTCCTTTAATTCCTACAGGAACATAGGGCTTCAGCCGTACTTCTCGATTGCATTTGGTCCTACCCCAACGTTTCCACCCGGCTCTACATCTGCTCACATGCTTTCATCTCCTCTTCGCATCACCTCCTCCATGTCAACCTCGCACTGACGACCATTTGGATTCCACTCGAGCAACGGCCTGTCTAGTGATGTCACTTGATGGTTTTATCACAGTATGGCTAATCCACCTGCATTTCTTCCTGCATATTTGTTGCAAAATTGGTTCCTGATGAGTTAGTTCGTTCCCAGTGATCCCTGTTGTTGATCTTTTCTGTCAAATTGATCTTAAGTATTGAGCGAAGACAGCTGCTTATGAAAGTCTGCAGTTTAGATATTATAGGGAGGTTTGTAGCTCAGGTGGACGATTTTGATGTGGTTGTGTTCTCTGAGCTGAAAGAGGGCAAGGACTCACTGCAGCACTCCCAAAACCTCAAGGAAAATTGAAGAAAGTTATCTCATGGACGTCTTCCAAAAGAATGGACATCCACGGAATTTCATCAAAAGGCACTTACCCCCAAGCCAACCTACCAAATCAAAAGCCCCAAGAAATCATAAAGAAAATCGCCTTTCCATATATAAAAGATATCTCAGAAATCACTACAAGACTCTTCAAACCTTTAAGAACTGACGCCATACACAAACCAAAAAAGTCACTTCACTCAGCTCTATGTCAACCAAAAGACTCAACAACGAAAGAAGATAAAACCAACATCATCTACAAAATAAATTGTAACAACGGCGGAAAACACTACATTGGCCAAGTGGACGTCCCCTTCGTCCTCGCATACATGATCATAAACTGGCCGGCCATCAAAAGACATGTCATCCACTCCCTCCTTCATATCACTGCATGCCCACAACCACGGACATCAATTCGACTGGGACAACCAACGATCAAATATTAGACAGAGGACACACCAAGAATGGTAACCGGAGAATTTTTAGAAGCTCACCTGGTATACCCGTGAATCATCAATCAATAGACACATCGACATAGACGAAATTTGCCAACCGATAAGAAAAAAACCTCACACACAAAGGGTCAAAGTTCAAGTCAAAGAAACAATCAGTTCCAATACAAGTAACCCAGAAGGTGTGAAAACACACAAAAACAACCAATCAAGTCCAAGGTCACCAGGAGAGATGATTAGTAAACTCGTGGAGAAATCTGAAAGCTTACTTCAACGGATTGAAGTATGCGCTGAAGATGTCGCCTAGTAGGCCGATGAAAGCTTCATAAATAAAACATTCAGCTAGCTTGGAGAGCAAAACCACATCAAAGTCTGCAGTTTATAGTTTCACCATATCCTTCTTCTTTATCTGATATGTCTGCTTTCTTTTTTGTTTCTCTCCTACAAATTAATATATAGATTATTCAATCATCTAAATGAACATGTTCTCACTGTTCGTGTACAACACAATATTCTGCTTGGATTGTCTGCAGTTTACGTCTATTCTGGGAATCGTTTATTATGCTTAGGTCAAACAATCGGTCAAGAACACCTGCCAACAATTCAGTCCAAGGTAATGGTAATGAGAATAAAATAAATGAGGTACAATCATTATTATTAACATTTAATTAGTGCATGGTGACTAGCAGTGGAATCCAGGATAAAACGCATTTCGTCCTATTTGGGACTCGTCAACTAGTGGATGTTCCATCAGTTTGGCATACTTTTGGGCATATATATATATATATATATATATATATATATATATATATATATATTCCAATAAGATTTATAAATGTTGTTCTATTGGTGATGGAATTGAAGGAGAGAGTTTCACCCTATCTAGGACTCATCATCTGAATTTGTCTGTACGCCAACTGGCTGATGGTCTTTTTATTGAGACTTGAACTAAGCAATCATTGTTTCCGACACCCAAAAGCCTTATTCATTAGTTTTCAATAGTCGGTTTGTAAGGAGTTGATTTGTTTCACAAGTTTGACGATGGATTGATATCAGTTAGAGAACCACTGGATAGCTGTTTCATCCTTGTTTAGAAGTCATCGACAGTACGCACTCACTGCCAGGAGTCGAACCCAAGACCTTCTGTTACAAGGCAAGCTCGTAGACCATTCAGCCACTGGGACCCGACTCGGCAATGACTTGCCTATGGATTCTAACTTCTACCAACTCGTGATTCAGAGTGACCGGCACCAACCAATGTCATCAGCAGGACATCCATACTCACACTTAACTGGATGGACCTACTGGTCAAGACTTCTCACCAGAACTCCGAGGAACTCCGTCCTGCAGTCAGTCACTAGGGAGAATCATTACGCCATTGTGACGCCATAGCCATTGCTTGTGAAATAACTATTAATTGTTATGTATTCTTGGAAGTGGTTTTCAGATTCCTGTCGATTGCCTTTCCGGGGATGCAATGCTCAGTCTCTATCGGGATATTAGTTCTTAGAATGAATACTTCGGTGATGAGGAATTTACAAAAATTCAATAACTATCCATGAAGTGTAGCTATTTATATAAAAAATATACGCAGATATGCATAGTCTTTATATTATGTGACTGACGATGTTACCTAAGAGGCGGTTAATGACACCAACCTAACTAACTACTGTCATAGATGTCAGTGAAGTTAGAACCAAAGTGAATGTTAAATACCTTGAAATGCGTATTTCCTCCGATCACCTTTCCTTGTCTTTCCATATCATTTTAGTCCCCAGAAAGATATTTTATTTAACGTTCTACGCGCAAGAAGTTAAGACAATTCGGTATCACTCAGTCTACACGGTTACAGTTTGTTAATTCTTGTCTTCTGACCACACTTCTTTACTGTTCTCCCTTTATCTTTCCCCAGGCTGCTTAAGAAAGACTTTGTTATACTGCTTAGTGCACTAAAATCTGTTAGTAGAGCGAATGAAGTGTTCATTAACCAACTCATTAATACTATTGTAGAAAGACACATGGACTCCCACAGGAAATTAGTAAATATTATCTTAATAGGTGGTTTGTAGGGATCAGATTTGATTCCAAGGGAAAATATACAAACAAACTGAGGGAGTTGCCATGGGACCACCAATATCCCCGGTTGTAGCAGATATATTCATGGATAGGTGGGAGAGCATAGTGATCGAAACGTTCACCCCCACCCCAAAAGTATGGTAGAGGTATGTAGATGACACATTCACTGTGCTTAGAAAACAGAATATAGATAGATTTTTAGAACACATTATAACTCAAAGGTGGAGGCAATTCAATTCACTTATGAATTGGAAAGTCAGGAAGGGGAACTTCCAATGTTAGATTGCAACGTAAAAAGGAAAGAAGATGGGAAGTTAAACACTAGTGTGTGTTCACAGGAAACCACACATTTAAACAGATATTTTGACTTCCGATCATCCCATCCTATGTCAGTTAAAATAGGATTGGTGAAATGTTTAAGTGATAGGGCACAAAAACCCAGTAGTACCAAGAAAATCTAAGACAGGAGTGATACACAAAAAAGAAGCCTTGAAACTTAATAATTACCCGCATAAATTAGTCAGAAATATGTAAGGAAATGTAAAAATAAAATAAATAATGACATTAGCGGTAGCGATAGTGATAATAAGAATAATAATAATAATAATAATAATAGGAATATTAATGACTACATGCATGTCAAATATACGCCAGACAACACCAACGATACGAGAATTTAAATTGTCAGTAGTACTTCCATATAACTAAGGAACCCGAAAACCTCGGGGACCGAGAATTCTTAACAATGCAGGTAGGAAAAGAATGGCTTACATTCAAACTGCCCACAAACTCAATTCGAAACAAGCTTTGCCAGTCAAAGGATCAATCCTGTAGAGCCTTTAAAACAAAACAACTTAGTTTATCTAATACTCTGCCTGCGATGGTTGTCAGGTCAAATACATAGGACAAACCAGTAGAACAGGGGCAGTCAGACTAGCCGAACATTAAAACCTAGCAAAATCTAGATTGGTTAACCCAAATAAGATAAGAAATCTAGAGAATAGTTCAGCCATAGCACTACATGTAGTCACACACAACCATACAATAGGATGGGATAGGATGACAGTTTTAAAATCTAATGTCACAGGGTATAGGGAGAGATTGATAACAGAAGCTTTGTTTATCGAATCAACTGCAAACCAACACGTGAAATAGGAATGATTCAACACCTGTCCACGCAGATATCTGGAAAATTCTATTACCCATAGGACAAATAGGAGAAAACAAAGAAAACTATAAAATTCAAGTTTCGAAGTCGGGTGTTATTATAATTGATGATAAAATGATTATGAACAATCAATTGTGTTGGAAACTGTGTCATCCAGTAAATAATAATAATACCGTTTCACTCACTGTGTGATACATCTAATAACAAACTAATATGGGATTAGATTTTTCTTAACTAGTTGATCGCGACTTTTATAAGTTAAAGAACCATTGAAAACCACCGCTGAAGTGCTGGACAGCTGTTTCATCTCAGTTTAGGAAATATAGGCAGTATCAACCACTACCAGGGTCAAACCCAGGACCTTCCAGTTACAAGGCAAGCTAGCTCATATACTATTCAGACACTGTGACGCGATTCTTCAATGGTTAGCCCATGAATTTAATTTCTACCAATTCGCGATTTAGCGCTACCACCAACCGTCTGATGCTCGCTAGTGACTTGCTACAGAATGGAGTTTCCTGGAGTTCTAGTGAGAAGTTTGTGACCATTAGGTCCATCCAGTCAACTGTGAGGATGGATGTCCCACCGATGTCATCGGTGGTGGTCACGCTAAATCTCACAAATTGAAAGAAGTTAGAATTCACGGACTGGCCATTGAGGGATCGGGTGGATCCCAATGGCTGAATGGTGTACGAGCTTGCCTTGTAACCGGATTTGAACCCATGGCAGTTGGTGCATACTACCAATGATTCCCAAACTAGGATGAAACAGCTTTCCAGTACTGGTAACAGTCCATGATCAATTCGTAAATATTATCTTGTCAGACTCTGAGCATTCCCTCTATACACAATTCTCACGGCTTCCATCTCATCGGGTAGAACTAGAAGCATCTGAATGCTCAGACAACTTAGTACAAAATCTCGATAATACCTTCATTTTCAGCACACATTTTATATGATGAGAAAATTGTAAGGAAGGAAATTAACGACTTATAGCTGAAGAACTCTAAGCCAAAGAGTCTTTTTTTGTTTTCATTGTTACATTGTCGTCAATATTTTCACTTGATTTAATTTTATGTTCATTTTTCTTATTGAAAATATTTTAATTATTGCCCTTGTGATGAGAAAATTTAATGCAATATCGTATTACATGGTGAAAACTCCATACTTTTTCACCAAAAGTACTATTTGGAATAAAGCTTTATTAATATGAATGAACCGTAGTTACCATAACAACGGCACCACTTCCATGAAGAAACAAAAATAGAGAGAGAGAGAAAGATGAACTGTTGACAGACAGATTCAAGAATCTTTTGAGTAGTGATTACAGTTGGAAGTAGTGTCATGTACACACCTTCTAAATAACACTGATCAACATTAAATTTCACACTGATAGTTGTTTAAATGAGTTAATAACCAATGAGAATTCAGTCTTCCAAATTAGCGGGAAATACAAAAGGTTAGTAACAGTATTGATAGGGCGCGAAAACTGAAACTCATATTTACAATATAGTTAATCAAACCTAGAAGTATTAACACAAATTATGTGTGAAAAATAGACGCATATTAACACTGACTTTTAGTCTAGTTCAAATTTCTATCAGATGTAACTAACTTTTTGAGATCGTGGAAAACACCTATACGGACATTAGAAAAAGGTAACATGAAGTTCAGCAAAGATATTGATCTTTCCGACGATTTCATTTTCAAAAGCAGCCGTACAATCGCATTCAGATACATAATTTTACATAAATGCAATTTTGTTTTACTTGATTCCACGTAATTACGAAGGCGTATGAAAGGCGACAATCATTTTCAACTAGATATGGTTTACAAGAGGCTTAGAAACAAAAGTACACAGGATTAGAATGAATTACAATTGTGTAAAAAAAAATGAGCATGGAAACAAATTGAAATAATAATTTTCAACTTGAAATTGAAGTTAGGAGGTGTGAATATAGATTACAAGAGGCTTAGAAACAAAAATTACACAGGATTAGGATATAATTGTAAAATAGTTATTTTTAAACGAATTATAAATGTGAGCAGGAAATGCATGGAAACAAACTTAAAATAACTGTTCTTATAACTGAAAAACTGCGGTGAATTAAATGAGGACAGAGAGAGTAAGAATCACACACACAGCGAACGAAAAATAGATCAAAAACCGAACTAGAACCATGGTAGTTGTAGGGTTGGACTAATTTCTTTTGAATACACAGCTCCGGATTTTCGACGCATAATGAGAGGGCTTCTGCTGTGCAGAGAAGTCGGAAACATACTGCTTTTGGTAGGTTTCTGTTGACTTTGTAAATGACACTTTGAATGAATCAGTTGAGATGTTGTGGGAGGTGTTGATCAGATGTTCAA